ATTCTCAGAACCAGACCCCGAGCAGATGTGGGAATATCAGCGTTTGAAATGGTGTATGGAATGTCCTATAGAATTGAAAATCCACAAACAAATGTTTTAATTCGAGACCATGTGATTAATGAATATGTTTCACAATTAGCAGAACATCGTAATAAGCTTTGGGAACACGGACTGATTGTGCAACGACCCCCGTTGGACTTAAAAATTCACAATGTTAAACCTGGGGATTGGATATTGGTTAAAGTATGGAAGGAAGAAACCCTAAAACCCAATTGGGAGGGACCTTATCTTGTTTTACTAACAACAGAAACAGCTGTCCGGACTGCTGAGCGTGGATGGACTCATGCCAGTCGCATTAAAGGCCCCGTGACGAAACCTCAATGGAAAGTAATTAGTACTCCAGGTGATACCAAGATAACCCTGAAGAGATAATGATAGAGACTTTGTTTGAGCATTTTGCCACATTGCCTCTTGGTATAAAGTGTATATTGCTGTTTTTACTTGCAATAATAATTTCCTTGTTCATTTATTATATATGGAAATGCACAAAGTGGGGTAGAGAAAATTATTAAAATATAGAAAATATACTGATATAAGTAATGTATGCATTTTAAATATACGAGTTAGATGTAATCATTTAAACTGTAACTGTTACCCATTTGCTTGTTTTAGGTGCAAGGCATACCAGGATAAATGGTGGACATAATGTGAGAAATTAGACAAGAAATTATTTGGGGAATCCCATGAGTGGTGGGAAAGTTTTGCCAAAGAAATAAACCCTCAATATTATCGGTACCAATCTGACAAACCGATCCACTTTGTAGCTGAAATCTTGGCTATAAAGTGCAGAAGGGAAGTACTAACTGTGTCTTGCTTTGTCCCATTAGTTAAAGCTGCAAAGTGGGAAGCCTATATAAACAGGCAGAAAGCCCGAAACAGCTGTTCTCCTGAAGAATTCCCTTGCTGCCGAGAAGATGGTACACCCCGTGACTCGAAGCAACCGAGTCGACGGGCGAGGCAGAGGAGGAACAAACCGTGGAGAAAAGAATCAGAACAATGGGACGCAAAAGCAGCAATGGCCGAACTTCCCCAGGACTGGTAAAAATCTACTTAAATTGGCAAAATTGATAGATACCCTTTTTCTTGGTATACCGTCAGTTCTGTTATTAATAATAACCCAAGCAAATGGAAATCCTCACCAGCCTTTTAATTGGACTTTAAGTAGATGGGAAAACTCAAAAATTCTTAAAATCAATGTTACCACGGGAGCTCCTTTCTTTAAAGTGACTAATTGTGAGTTAATGGGTCAAGATTGTAAACCCGACAACCTACGTCGCTTTGGGTGGAATTTTAAAGCTACCTATTGGTGCCCTAGTTCAAACCCAGGACGTGGATATTGTAATTCCCCTTATGATTATTATTGTGCTTATTGGGGATGCGAAACTATTGCGATGGGATGGGACCCTCAAAGGAAAGATGAATATCTCAAAGTTACCTGGGAACCACATGGATGCGAACGACCCGGTTATGCCCACTCTGGTAACGTGTGGAAAAGAGGAAACTGTGGATCTCTAGGGGTCTTAATCTTGAAACCCCAGGATCCTGGATGGTTAGTAGGACGAACCTGGGGAGTGAGATATTGGCAACCTGGAACCGATAGCGGATGCCTAATACTCATTAGAAAACAACCAGCTATAAACAATCCCTTACCAGTAGGATCAAACCTGGTCCTGAATTCACCCATTCTTCCTAAGAAAAGGATGGTTCCCACAAGTGTCACAACCATTCGTCCAAACTTTTTATCAGTAACAGATAGAACAACTAAAGACATGGTGACTGAGTACTCTTTAGTTAGGGACTCAGGAGTGTCAGAATCTAAAGACCCCTTATGGGATTTAATGCGAGCCTCTTATCGTACCCTTAATGAAAGTAAACCAAATTTAACTAAGGAATGCTGGTTATGTTACAATATTAGACCACCATCTTTTGAGGCAATCGGAATACCAGATAGGATTCAATGGTCTAGTGGTTCAAACCCACAAGAATGCCAATGGGATGACCAGAGGAACCATACACAAGGAATTACTATTCAATTAGTAACAGGTCAAGGAAAATGTATAGGTACAGTTCCCAAAAGGTATCAACCCTTGTGCAACCAAACAATCACTAACACCAATATAAAAAGGCACAAGGATCAAAATGACAAATGGGCTATCCCGACACCAGGAGCTAAGTGGGTTTGTTCAGACATCGGAGTAACGCCTTGCCTATCCTTAAACGTGTTTAGTCAATCTCAGTTTTGCATACAGGTGATTATTGTTCCTCGTCTGATCTATCACACCTCTGAGGAGGTGTTACGCCACTTTGAAGGAGACCTGAATAGACAAAAACGAGAGCCAATTACAGTGATAACCCTAGCTACTCTGCTGATAGCGGGCGGAGTTGGAGCAGGTACAGGCATAGCCTCCCTAGTAAAAGGTCAGGAATTACAAAGTTTGCAGATGGCTGTAGATGAGGATTTAGCAAAAATAGAACGATCAATACAAAATTTAGCCACTTCAGTAAAGTCTTTATCAGAGGTAGTGCTGCAAAATAGAAGAGGATTAGACCTATTGTTCTTAAAGGAAGGAGGGTTATGTGTAGCTCTAAATGAAGAATGTTGTTCTTTTGCTGATCATACGGGAATAGTCCAGGACACCATGTCTGAACTCCGGAAAAGGTTAGATCAACGTAAAAAAGATCGTGAGACGGGTAGATCGTGGTATGAAAACTGGTTTAATGTTTCACCTTGGCTAACTACTTTGTTATCTGCTTTAGCAGGACCACTTATTATATTGATCCTGGGACTTATATTTGGACCTTGTATAATACGCTATATTTTACGCTTTATTAGAGAACGGTTCGACATAGCTAAATTACTTATTTTAAGGTCTGAGGTAAAATATAAAAGTGTATCTATTAATGAAGAAATAGATGATGAAGATTGTTGTGAATGCGTTATACCACGTAAGAATTATGATTGTAATTGTGAGATATTATCCTGTGAATGTTGTGATAAATGCTGGAATTGTGGAAGAAGGCTTGCTCGCAGTGCTAAGAATGAAAGTAGCATCTAATAAACAATAGTAGGATAAAAAGAAAAAGGGGGGATTGTGAGAAACTATGAGCTAAGTATATTAAGACTTAAAGATAACAAGAGAAGGGGAGATCGTTCATGGAATCATGTGTTGCTTGTGCACACATGGCCGAAGCTGCAGATCACAAGATATTCCAAGACAACAAACAGAAGAAAAACAACTCCATATAAGGATATCATCGACCACCAGAAGGCAGAAAACGACCCCCTAACAACAGTTGGCACATGCGCAGAGTATCTCCACCACTCTAGACCCCAGCAACAGTTGAAACATAGTATCTTCACCACTCCATGAACGCGGGAGTACAGAATGTATAAAAAGGGACAGTCTGTTCTACTCAGTACGGCAGTTGGTGGAGCACAGACTCCTCTGTCGTCCAGCGCTGGTTTTGCTCATATTCTACTTGCTATAATTAATAAAATTTCAATTGGATTACGACCCATTGTAGTCTCAATTTATAACATAATGAAGGCTGAACTCCAGTTAATGGCTGAGGAGCTTCCAACCTTTCTGTGCTGGGCTCTGTGACTTGCTGCCCCAGCTCTCCCCTGGGAGCCAGGGCATGGGGGGGTTGATCACAGGGGAGATGCCCAGCAGCTACAGACAGGCGGAGGAGTTTGCTCCTACAAGCACAGAGGATGTGTGTCACTTCTTTCTCCCCCAGATCAGAGGCTGTACAGAATTGATCTGGGGGTTACAGGAAAGCTAGGAGCAAAAGCCCCAGAAGCCAGCCTAAAAAACCTCTCTTGCTGGCACAGCCTTTCTCTGAACAAGAGGATTTTTTGCTTCTTCCCGTTCCAAAGTTACAATTTTCAATTTGACAGAAGAAATTCCTCACGGGCCTTTCTATGCCAACCTCTTCCAAGCTCTCCAGTATGACTTGCTCCATTCTGCTGCGTGAGCTACTGGGAAATGATCATTCTCATTTTCATGTCTCATTTTAATAAGGCACACTCCCACGAGTGTCTTCAATAAACAAACACCATTTTGTCCAGACACACAGTGTAAATTCCAGGCCACAAGTAGTCTGAAGCTCTGCTTCTGCCACTGCAAATACTCATCTACAGCCCAGGGCTTGGTTTGGTTTTTCCACCAGCAATTCTCCCTCAAGGAACACTGGCAAAGCAAGCACTGGCTGCACTCTGGCTGCCCCCACAGGGCTGAGACAAAATCATCAGTAAATAATTAGCAATCAAAGGTCATAATGGCTCAGGCCTTTGAACAGAGCTGCTCCTGTTGGAAGTTAACCATGGGGTATTTGCAGCCAACCATCCAAGATAAGCAAGAGGGGAAGGTTTAGGGAAGGTTTAGCGAAGCAGAGTGGTGTGGACAGCAGCTGGGACAGTGGGAAGTTCTGAGCAAATACCTGCGTCCAGCCCCGGGAGGCAGGAGGGCTCTGGCAGGGCTGAGGCTGAGTGCAGTGGGGAAGGAGGTGTCTGGACGGGGCAGAGCAGAGAAGCTGGGGCGTGAGACCGCGCAGCACGGCCGGCTGAGCGAGAGGCACCGACAAAGAGCAGGCGATTCAAACCAACAGCTGTGACACACTCAACAGAGTCTTGGAAATGAGCTTCAGGACTGACAAGAGGAAGAAGGTAGTGTTTTTAGATGCCATTTAATAGGAATCTGGCTTTGAAATTAGTGATTTGCAGACGCAGAGAAGGCACGTACATTTGAAGACAGCTCTCCAAGATCAGCTCTGTCTTCTGTGAGTAATTATTGAAAAAGAAATGAAGAACAAAATTATGGCTTCTCAGAGCGGCCCATATATGCTAATCACATTGTACCTAATATGCTAATCACAACAGGGGAACATGGCCTGTTATTTTGAAATATGGCCGATGCTGCCACACCACTGAAGGCTGTTCCTGTTGCTCTGGCATATTGCAACGAGCAGTGTGGAGAACAGATGTGCACAGGCAGGAGAAGCACAGCACCATTGGTAAGACTTGTGCCACTGCCCAGTGGCTTGGATCACTTGAAGAAGAAGCCGTGTTTCAGTGGGTCCTCCTCTTCGACAGTGAAGGTGGCTGTACCGGTGTAAAAGGCTTCTCCCGAGACTTCCACGACAACAGCATTGTAGTCCCCAAACTTGGCTTCCTGCAGAGGGATTTGGATCAGGACAGGCGACAGGAGGTTCTCCGCTCTCCCAACCCCATGAAATGCCAGCGCTACCTGGCATTTACGTAGAGACACCCCTCACAGAGCACTCTGACCTGCCCAGGTACATCCCAAAGTGTGTATCAACCCTTTTACCACCTTGCCTTGCCGGCATGGACTCCACACCCCCACAACTGCTTCTGCCCCTGCTCTGAGCTCGCGAGCCCCTGGACTGCCACAGCGTGGGTTTGCATCAAAGGAAGATGACAAGCTGGTAGGCACTTGCTCCCAAAGACTGAGAGCTCCCTGGGGCATGTCCAAACCTTCACAGCCACATGCTGCCAGATCCCATAGGACCAGGGCTGGGACTTGAAACCCAGATGAAAAAACCCAGCTTCTATATCTTCAAACGACGTGCTCAGCCTTTGAGCAGGGAAGAAGGGACCAAACCATGAACTCGCCCTTAGCTACCACTGAAACAGACCAGACTGATTTATCTACATCATCAGCACTGGAGATATTTCTCACCCCACCGAGTCCTTTCCTGATGGTCCGAGACAGGATTTGCAGGGAAGCCATGCAACAGAACAAGGTCTTACTGTTATTACTTGCTTCTCTAATACAAAATCTTGAAGCGTGAGGCTTGTGGGAAGGCAAGACCCCTAGGCACCCCCCTCCTTCCACATGCATTTCCCCAGGCACAGAAAGGCTTTTCTGCTTCTCCACTGAGCCAACACTTCTCCAGCAGTCCTCAAGACAGAGGGAAAGTCCAGCACAAGCCACTTGCCTTCACTGCCTTCCCAGTGAACAAGGACCCCTGTGGTGCTGCTCCGAAAGGTCCTGGTCTGGTTCAGCTGGATGAGTCCCTTATGGTACTGCAAGGCGATGCGAGCTGTCACACCCGAACCTGTCGGACTTCGGTCAACCTACATTCAGAAGAGAAGATGAACCAGCTCTAGTATTTAGGGTTTTAATAGAAAACAATACTGCTTCCCTCAGTTCTCTTTGCCACCCTTATACAGCACTTGGGAGAAAACCCTCTAGCCCAGGGTTTTGTACTGAATCTGAATACATCACAAATAAGAAGACAAAATAAGCAGGTTTGGGGTACTTTTGGATTGTGACCAGCTTTGGCAAACTTGTAGGGATGAATGATCCAATAAATATTCAGGCTACTTAGGGAGCACTTGAAAGCTTCATAGCATCATAGCGAAAGGACTGAGAGGGGTAGAAATCACCTTCCCATTCTCACACGTCAAGGTAAGATCAGCTCTCCTTCCATTGAGAGAGCTGCTGGCCAGCCTGGTTTTTAAAACCTCCAAAACCAGAGTGTTGGCCAGCATTTGAGGTGAGCTGTCCCTGCGCTCCACACTCCTCACTGCTGGGAAGTCCAACCAAAACTTCCCCTGTTATTTCTGTGACACCTTATCCACTGCAGACAAGGACAGAAGTTTATACCCCCACTTTTCTCTCTGCTCTGTTCATCCCCAGCAACTGTTCCCTACATTAGGACTTTAAGGACATGCACTATGTTGCAATCCCACCTCAGGCCCTGAACTCCTTGGAAATTCCTACCTACGGGGCACGAGTATGAATCTTTTTTAAAATGCCACCATCCAAGACATGCAGAAGTATTTCTGTCATTGGGAACTAAAACAGCACATGTTAAGTGATGCTCAGCTCTTAGGGACATCACTGTAGCAGAAGCAATGATCACTGCCCAAATGGAGAAGCAGCAGAACCGTCCCTCATCTCTGCAGTGGATGTAAGAAGGGAAAAGGCGGTGCCTTGCGTGTCTGAGAAGAGCCCGTTTCTGTACCTGTTCATCTGCAAACACACAGATGTTGGTGGTGGGCTCCTCACTAAAGGCATCTTTCCCATCCGTCAGTATGGTGCCGTACAGGAAAGCCAGGTCTTCACTTTCAGGGTGATGAAGCTTGAACTGGGAAAAGCACAGGACAGGCTCACCCCTGTGCACGGCAGCTGGGCCATCAGCAGTGGGTGCAGTGCAGCTTCCTCAAGAGACGAGAGGAAGGGGGCGAGGCCACACCACTGCGTTTCCACCTCTGCTTCTCCAGTAAGAGACGGACAGAGCAGCAGGAAAGCAAACTCCTCCTCACGTCCTTGTGAGCCTGGAGGAGGGCTCTGAAATTCGACATGGGGCTGGAAAGTGGGGACTCCCTTCCATCCTGAGCATCTCAGAGGAATAAAGGGCCTCGGTCTGGTGCAGTCACCCCAAAGGGAACACGCTGGCGTACCGCAGGGCTCTGCCATACCTGTTTCTTCACCGCTTCTGTCACCGCACTCGCCACGTTGACAAGGTCTCTGGTCTTCGAAGAGCACACGTCAAGGCCCAGCTGCTCGGCGCTGAGGAAGGCGTAGAAAGTGCCACCGTAGCCGATGTCGACCACCACCTTCCCGTGACCGGGGACGTCAATGGCCAAGTCTGGGGCAGAGACAGGGAGGGGAAACCGTGCTGAGCCACTTGCGGGGTGAAGGAACCAAGCTGCGTGCAAGGAGTGCGGACAGGGATGACGGCTGGAGCGCTCCCACGCCAGCGAACAGCGTGTGACGCCTTATGCCATCTCCGACAGCCTCGGAGGAACATTGGAACTGAGGAGGGTGGTGGGGAGATTTGCCAGACACCCCTCAGCCAGGCCGCCAGCCCCCAAACCCCAGCACAGCCAGCACCAACCCCCCCCCCCGCAAAAAAACCCCAGTGCAGCGGGCTCGGTTCCCCACCGGTGGCGGCGGCGAAGGCGGGCACGCTGTGGAAGCGGACGGGGTTGCCGCTGCGGCGGCCGTCCCAGGGGACGAAGGCGGTGAGGGGGCCGCAGGGGCAGCGCAGGCGGACGGCGGTTTCGGGGCAGCTGGGAGCCGGCACCAGCCCGTAGTCGAGGGCGAAGCGGCCGAGGGCCAGGACGGCGTGGCCGCACATGGCGCTGTAGCCGGCGCCGTGCAGGAAGAGCGCTGCCAGGTGGGCACCGGCGGCGGCCGCCCCGCCGCGCACCACCACGGCCCCGTACATGCCGTCGTGGCCCCGCGGTTCGTGCACCAGCGCCCGCCGCACGTGGTCCTGCGTGGCCGCCACCTCCCGCCGCAGCGACAGCAGCGACAGCCCCCCCGCCGCCATCTCCTCCGCCGCCTCCAGCCGCGGGATGACGCGCAGCGGCTCGCCGCCCGTGTGCATCTCCACCGTCTCCAGCACCAGGCCCGAAGGCGAGTGCGGCGGCAGCCGCCGCCCCGCTCCGCCGGCCCCGCCGCCCTCCGCCGCCATCGCCCCCGCAGGCCACGCCCCCCCACCCGTGGGCACGCCCCACACCGGCGGAGCAACCCCGCCCCTTGCGCTTGGCCGCGCCCACACGCCTGGCAGAGGGGTGATGTTTGCCTCCGCGTCGGAAGCGGAAGTGACGCGCGCGGAAGTAGCTCGGCGGAGGGTGTGTTGCTGGGTTACCGGGATGTTCCGCGCCGGTAGGACGGGCCGGGGCCGGGGCCGGGGGGTTGTCAGCGGGCGGATCGGGCCGGGGGTGGCTCTCGGTGCCTCTCAGCCGCGGTGGGCCGGGTCGGTAACGAGGGCTGCGCTCTCCCCGCAGCTGTGGACATCCAGCCCGCCTGCCTCGGGCTGTACTGCGGCAGGACCGTCCTGTCGGTCAACGGCTCCCTGGAGACCTACGGGGACTGCGGGGTAAGGGCGCCGCGGGGGTTGGGGCGGCTGCGGAAGGCGGGCGGAGCTCCCTGGCCGAAAGCAGGAGCTGCTCAGCCAGACCCTCCCCTCCCCGGAGCTGAGGCCGAGGGCTCGGTGCTGAACCGCAGGGGATGGGCCGGAGAGCTGCGCTGAAATCCCCCTGCCCACGGGTTTTACTGGGAGAGTAAGGTCCGGGGGGACGGAATGAACGGGGAGCAAGAAACTGGGGGGCGGAGGGTGTGAGTGGTGAGCGAGCAACGAAAGGGACGCGGTGGTGTGGCAGCAGGAGAGGAAAAGAGAGTCTTGGGTGAAGCCTTTTGAACACGCTGCACCGTTTATGTTAAGAAGCAAGAGGCAAAGAGAGCAAGGCCAGCGTGAGCTGAGGAATCACTGAGGTTGATGTTTTGTCTCTTTAAAAATCTGATACGTTTCTTGCCCCAGTACTACTTTAAGCTGTTTTTCTAGGAACTGCAATGACTCATTATTGGTACTCGGCTGCTTTGTAAACGTGGTCTCTGGTTTTTGTAGGTGTGCCCTAGAGGTCAAAGAACTGATGAGAACAAAATCTGCCGGGAGTGTGTGGGATCTCCGGACCGCTATGACTGGCTGTACCTTGGCTTCATGGCCATGCTTCCCCTGGTTTTACACTGGTTCTTTATTGAATGGTATTCAGGAAAAAAGAGGTTTGTGTACCCCTTCTTCACATCAGTTATTTAGAAATGGAAACCATGCGTGATCAATCTGAGATGCCGAATTGAACCATCCAGCAGTTCCTGCTGTCGGTTGAGCTGATACGGTAGCACATCACCTTTGGGCAGCTGGAGGGGGGTTTATTTACAACTATAAGAGTCCTGCAGGTCCTTTTTGACAGTTGCTGCCCCCAGGGCATGGTCTGTATCTCTTCAATGTGGTGGTTCCCAGTCCGTTTGTCAATTTGGGCAGGATTGGGTTTCCCAGTAGCGGGCGGGCGTGTGTCATCCCCTCTCCTGGGCCAGCCCCAGCCCCTGCAGAGGCCCTGACCAGCAGCGCTGTGCAAGTGCAACGAGAGAATGGACTTGAATTTTCTCTTTAGGAATACATGTACTGGGTTTTGGTCCTGGTAGCATAGCTGATGTAGCCTCTACGTCTGCATGGTGCATCAAGGAAGCTCTGTAAGAAAGGGGTTTAAACCCACAGCTGCTCATGGCCATTAAGGTGCTAGGTTGGAAGCTTTAAGAAGTAATGGCTGAAGGGCACCAAACACTGAAAACATAGGGGACTAAGAGAGTTTAATGTATACCATCTTTAACAAGAGCTTGCAGCTTTGAAAATTTTGCTTACATCATATGTAATAACATTATCCCTTCTGAGACATGTGGTGCCTCATCCTCACTGCTGCTTCCTTTGAAACTGCAACCCCGACCGGTCGTGTCCCTCACCTGACAGGATGCTTATGCTGCACAAGCTTTCATTGAAGAAGCTGGAATGTTGTTCAATCACATCTTGTACATTAATTCATCTGAGATTTGTAAATGAGTTTTCACATTCGGCTTCAAATACTCTTTATTCAAGCAGCATTGTCTAGTTCTTGGTCACAGTGAATATTAACTCAGAAGAAGGTTCTGTACTGCGTGGGGTCTACTTCCCAGCTGCCGCTTATATTTCCTTTATTTTGCTCACAAAGTAGTAGTAGATCTCTCTCTCTGTCCTTCCACAGTTCCAGCGCGCTGCTGCAGCACATCACCGCCTTGTTCGAGTGCAGCATTGCAGCAATCGTTACGCTGCTCGTCAGCGACCCGGTCGGCGCTCTGCATATCCGCTCCTGCAAGGTGAAGAAGCTTTCGGACTGGTACACGATGCTTTACAACCCAAGCCCCGACTACATCACCACAGTGCACTGCACTCACGAAGCAGTCTATCCCCTGTGAGTGTAAGGGCTTTTGTACTCCTGTCTGTCCCTTTCTTTCAGACGAGTGTGTTTCTGTCCGTGCCTCTTCTCTAAGCCACAGAAAGTAAAGTGTCCAGACACAGCTCAGACCGATGAGTCTCATCCCCTGATGTCTTTCATGCATTGAGCTGGTTTATGTGTGAAACGCTTAGCACCACCTAGTGACCTTCTGAGTCACCGAAGAAGGTGGCAGAGTCCAGGCTATTTAGCTACGAAGCATGACTACTTTTTTTTTTTTTTTCCACCTTTGCTGCATCTTGACTGTTTCCCCTGGGAAAAGTGAGCCCATTGTTCTGTGTTTACATCCTTTGATTGTAAATTCTTTACACTTGACTGACTCAAACCTCAAATTCCCTGGTTCTGAGTTGAGTCTGCAGGAGAAAAAGAACTGCACATTTTAAGCATCTTAAGGAAATTCTGTTTTGTTTTCTTCTCTCTCTTTTTTTGGTTTTTTTTTTTTTTTTTTTTTTTCAGGTATACCATTGTGTTTATATATTACGCCTTCTGTCTTGTGTTAATGATGCTACTTCGGCCTCTTCTGGTTAAGAAAATTGCTTGTGGTTTGGGAAAGTCTGATCGATTTAAAAGTGTTTATGCAGCGCTGTACTTCTTCCCTGTCCTCACTGTGCTTCAGGCCGTTGGAGGAGGCCTGCTATGTGAGTTCTGTCCTAACAACACTAATAAACAAACCTATAAACACACACTGACAAACGACTTATGTCCCTCTCCTCCCTGTTTCTCTCCCATGACACTTTTTGCTTTGAGAATAAGGACATTGTTTAAGGTTACTGTGAGGACTCTTACCTGAAGAGGTTGCTCATTCGTAGCCCCTGTCCTCACCAGGCTCCTGACCAACACCGCTTTGCCTCTGCCAGTGCTGCCAGAGACTGTCCCTTTCCCAAAAAGGCAATGGAGGGGGTGCGAGAGGAAACTACTTCACAGGGAGTTAATTCCGCTTTCTGCTAAGGTAGAGTTTGTCTGATTTCAGAGATGGATTCAAGTATAAGTTTGGGGAGATCAGATATTTTTGGTTTAGTTTCCAGCATAGTTGTCACATGAAGAGGACAGGTGCCATGAAATCCTCACTCAGCCTGACCATTTTTCTCATTATCTGCCCTTTTCAGATAGTGATTTAAGTGTACAATAACTCCACCTAGAAATATTAGAAAAAGTTTGCAAACCTAAGACAGAAGAGTTGAGTAGTTGTGTTTGGCTGACCCTTACTGCTAGGCGTGTTTGATGAGATGATAAGAGGCAGGCTAGAGTAGCTTGGCTTAGTTCACACCCATGCTTATATGTGGAAAAACGCTCTCTGCTGAAATGTCTATCGTGCATTCTTTTTCCTGCTAATATCTTCAATCTTTGCCTTTAGATTATGCCTTCCCATACATCATACTGGTGTTGTCCTTGGTTACACTGGCTGTGTACATGTCTGCTTCCGAAGTGGAGGTAGGTAAATATCTACCCTATGTTAAAACTCCTAAAATAAAATAGTTGAATGAGCAGAGACCGCTTGGTCTCTCTTCCCTTTTCTCAGCAGTTTATTTTGCATTTAAGCCGCTTCCTTTATGACTTCTCTTCACTGGTGGAAGCTCCTGTGAGACTTCCCTCTTGTGGTGCACTAAAACTGTTACATGTGCTGGAAGGGCTCAACCCCAGGAGGCTTTGTAGAGTCTCTGTGTGCTCCCTGTAACATCTCATGAACACCAGGCACTAGGTAACAGGCTGAATGCTAACAAGATGCTTTGGGTTTTTTTTTTTTGCAAGTCTTTCAAGGATCTTCTTGTCAGGAAGAAAAGGCTCGTTGTCCTCTTCAGCCACTGGTTACTTCATGCCTATGGAATCATCTCCATTTCCAAACTGGATAAGCTTGAGCAGGACCTGCCCTTGCTTGCCTTGGTACCTGCACCTGCCCTCTTCTACTTACTGACAGCGAAGTACACCGAGCCATCACGCATACTCTCAGAAGGTGGAAATGGACATTAAAAGGAGCCTGTGCCAACAGTGCTGTCCTGAGGATCTGGATTAAGCAATTTTAGTGCTTGTTACGCTTTGGAAACTTCTGTTTTAAAGGAAGTTATTTATGTACAAGACTTCTAGGTGAAACACATCTGAGTGAGACTGTGTAATATTAAAAAGCTGCACTTTGTATTCTTCATAAGTATCTGATATAGATCGAAGGGAAGGTCTTTATTTATCACTGTGAATCTGAACAAAAAGCGTGTGCCACATTCTCGTACAGCGCTTTGCTTGTATCTGTTTATTTCCTAATACAGTATTTTAGGTGTTTGAATAAAACAATAGAGCCTGGTTTTCACTAGACTTTCAATAAAACAAGTAGAGCTTGAATATACCATAGAGCTTGGTTTTCTTATCCCACAGTCTAGTTCCTGTCCCCCAGCAGTGGAAAGAGACTTTCATCTTCCTTCCATCAAAAAATAAAACATGTTGAGCATGATTCCTGGAGATGATTGAACAGTAGTAGCCTTCCCACTACATCCCCACTAATGCTGTGTGGCCACAACTGTACCTGTACTGCAGCAACAGCCGTGGTCACCCAGGTGGGGAGTTCAGGAGCTGAGGAAGGAACAGCCCTTCGTGCAGTGTCACCACTGCAGTGATAGAAACTGCTGGAATGACTGAAGTACGAAACCAGTACAGATTTAATAAAAATAATACGGAGATTCCTTATCTCCTTAGAGAGATACCATTATGCACTCTGCATTCATCAAAACCTTTATGTGAACACCTTGATAAGAATTGCTAAATCTTCTGGCTGTTCAGAAGTGAGATTTTGGCCTTGCTGAAGCCAGATACCCCCTGAAAGACTCTAGTCTTCTCCTTGTATTATACAGGAAGGTGCCCAAACCGTGTATCCTGGATAGTAGTCACCAGTAACTTCGTGCTATAGAGGGTCTAGAAGAAGATGCAAAGCAGTGCTGAAGGTTGAAACACAAGGGGAAGAGTAAGAGGAAGATCTTCTCAACCTAAACTCTTCTTACTGTGTGGATCATTGGCTGTTGCGGCACAAATAACTGTGTCTTTCTACATTTGTGTGACAGAAAGGCCTTTTTTTTAGTCTATTGCCTATCAACATTGCTGTGGACAGGGCCTGCCAGCCACTCAGGGGCTTTGAGGGGTGTCATGTCTGCCAGGCTGCCTCCAGATGTCTCCCTCCTCTTTCTCCATAGAAAGATATCTGATAGGCCTTTCCTGATAGCTTTTTTCTGTGAAATGCCAACTGACAGATTCACTGCTTCTAAAAATAGTGTGCAAACAAACTAGGTCTTGCATGCAGAAGTAAGGTTTTATTTAGGGATTAAAGAAGTAATTGATCTCCTTAAGGAAATCAAATGCTGTCTATACTGCTACGTACAATATGTAATTTGCAGATGCACTAATCTGGCAGACAGTTCTAAAAGTATAGTTTTAAAACTCATGTGTTAAAACACCATTTCCATTACTGACAGAGTCATAGGCATATTTCTCTTTAAAATGCCCTAAACACAGTTTTGTGTCTGCGTTTGCATAGCTGTCACGTCAGCACAGGCACAGCTGGCACGTGAGCAGCCAGGGCAGCAGGGTGCAGAAAAAAACATTTGCAAAGGTGCAGCACTAAGGACAGCACATTTTTATGTGCATTCCTATGTATGGACTAAATTGGGTTTAAATGTTGGGCTATAACTTGTTTTTAAAAAGAAAAGTAGCAACAACTCCCAGGTAACAATAGCTGTAGAAAAGAGTACACCTTTCACTGGGTTTGCGGAACGAAGGCTGCAGAATGAGGGACTATTACAAGCAGAGTTTACAGGAAGGCAGGGCGCCCCGTGGACCTTGCATGGCATACCCAAACACTGACCTTCCTGCTGGGCTCCAGTGCTCTAGCCTTCAGCAAAACCTGGAATACAAAACACAAATTAATAAGCTTTTTTTATTACCTTCTCTTACTAGTATTAAAAAAAAAAAAAAAAAATGTAATGGCAGCCAAAGAGTTAGGTAGACACAGGTGGATAAAGGCATGCAGTTTGGAATGACCTGGCAATGTTTTTGTGCAGGCTCCTCGTGAAGAAACTTGCCCTGCACATTTCAAACAAAATAATACTGATGCTGGCTTTCAGATGAAGCAGGATTCTCTTCTGCTGTATGTTCAACGTCCTTCCCCTCTCTGCCTGGCTTCCTTCTGGGGACATTCCCTTCCTCTAGAAATTCATCATTCCTCTCCCTGGTTTCCTGTCACATTACCCAGACCCAGTGATTTCAAAGCAGCCCGTATGCCACAGACTTTCAGCTTTAATATGTATAAAAAACCCCCACATTCTGCAACAAGACAGCAGTCACATAGTGACCAAACCTGTGACTCATTACACAAGACCTCTGTGACCCAACAAGGATTTGAGTTAAAAGGAGGCTCTGAAGCAAGTGATTTGTATGCACCAAGGGCCCTCTGTAATATCACCCCTTTCCAAGACAAGAGCATAGAATATTGTTCATTTAAATGGAAACAGCACTACAGATTGCTCACATGTAAAATTCTAGAGATCATAACATTAATTAACCATATACTCCTACAGTGATAACCATGCAACCACAAGCTGTGGGAGTTGAGGGTCTGTTAGTTTGATTTATCCTTTGTGGAAAAGCAAACATATAGTTCTGAAAAGATCAGTGATGCTCAGACTATTTTACAGCCCCCTCACTGTTATTATCACAACCCTTTAGAAAGTAAAAATTAAAGATAATAGTATCCAGGCTGCGTTATAAAGCATGTTTAGTTCTTCTAATAAATGTACCACAAAGTCTCAATCTGCAGCAGGGTGATCAGATACAACACAGCTGTACTACTTGTGTTTTATCACAAACAGCTAAGAATTAACATAATCTAGAATTTTAAAAAAGTTAAAAAATAATTTTAAAAAGAGTGGAAAAGAAAGTATATCTTACAGTGATCATCCATTCTAGATTTTTTGATAACCAGAGAATCCAGTCCTTTCAGCTTATTTTGCAGCTTGCTATTAATATCATCAATCTTTTCCTCTCGTTGTTGAATTTTTGTTGCTAGAGCTGTCACTGCATCCAGTATTTCCTGCTCATTCTCCAGAAATTCCTGTAATGACACAGAGTAGACTTTATTTTTAATCAAAAGGAAAAAAAAACCCACCCTCACAAACTGTTAAGAAATTTGTTTTGTTTATCTTGTTTTCCCACAGCTTCAGTGGTTACCAGATCTGTAGCACTGCTGAAATTTTTCATTAAGGACCCAATCCTTGCATAAAAAAAGCAAAGTTTGCCTTCCTAATGGAACAACTGGTGAAAAACTTTCTTACATGATAGTTTGGTTTAATTCCTGTTCAAAATGAAGGCTATCCCCAACTGGAAAAATGTTACAAGGCTGATGAGCTGAATGTAGAACAGCAGCAATGTTATTAGAGACGGGGAGACTGAACAGGTTTGAGGGTTGAATGTAAGACCAGAAAAAGGGACAATATTGGGAAAAATTATTTGTATATCCAGGGCTTCTATACAATGCTGGAAAACATAGGTTTAATATGTTGCCCCTGCTTGACTTCAAAAATCATAGTGCTTTATTTGCAATAAGAAATTTTAGATGGTAACTGAGATATATTTATACAAAACAGTATGATAGAAAATTGAAATTCACCTTTTGAATCAAGCTCTCCTCTGACCATCCCTTCAGAAGATGATCTACAACAGAGTCAACAGTTAAAATGTGGTAGATTGCTGTGCCAAAAGACAGACATAAGGACTGAAATATATTCTTTTAAAAATGTCACTTTTTTGTCTTGAAATCATTATTAACATGTTACCATGAAGCACTGCTAGGTCATACAGGATTTTGATTGTTGCCGAGTTGTGGTTTTCTGCTTCAGAATGCATTGCAAAAATATCTTCTTTTATCTGAGCATTGCACTGTGAAAAAAATAATTACAACTAAATACTTGCCAGAGTTTTCTAAATGATTTCCAAATAGTTTCACTGTTTCTAGAGGAAGAAGAAGCTGAGTTTTAGCTTATGGAAATACAAAGGTTAATTTATTAATCTGGACATGCTTTCTTTCAACACCACCATCCATTTCATCTTGTTGAACAAATTTTAGCAGTTGCCAAAAATCAACTGAAGCCAGATATGTCTATGCTACCAAATAAAAGGGATGAGGACACTGAGAACAGCCAGAGCAGTACAAGTTGTGTGCAAACAGGGAAACTCTTCCTCACTTGCTCCCCCAAACTGGGATGGACTCACTCACGTTGGATCAGCTTGACCAGCACCCAGCTTGTGCTGTCCCAGGTTTGACTGAAACGTGTTAGATGGCCCAGGTCAGGCACAGCAAACAGCATTCTCTAGCGCAATGTAGGCATCCAAAAAATCACAGCTTCTCTGCTTCTGTCAGCGAACTGAACATACGGAGAGGGATGTCTGTGGTGTAACCAAGAGGTTTCTTCCTAAGGGAAGCCTTTGTTTCCATAACGGTATAATCAGAGCTGCAGAGTAGCTGGTACCTAGCACCCGCAGTGCTGCACGCACAGATGCAGGCAGCTGCCCTTACAGCAGTTGAGCTCTGTGCCTGCAGGCAGCAAACCGTGCACAGGGCGCAGATCACCCCAGAAGTGCAGTCCATGCTGCTGTGGAAATGTGGGTGCAGGTCCAGATGGCAGCCTGGGAACAGTTGGCAGTAGGACCACTTTTACTTCATGTGTTTTATGGGGGAAGAGGTTCTACTACTCTGACAGTCTAGGGCCTGAAAGGTATGCAGAATATTTTCAAAAGCATATGTTCCAAAATGCACAGGCCCATTCTACATTTCACGTTCATCTCAGTCCCCTTCATGTGGCAGGAAGCCCTCTTCCTACAACCCCTGACTGGATGCAGCAGATACACTATATTGATTATGCCTCAGGGAAATGTCTTGCCCTTGGATATTCATCTTTGTTTCCTTCCAAATTAAACACGGCCCCACACATTCATTTAAAAGGCCAGGTTTGTCCTGTGCTATTTATGTTTCATCGTCTGCCACAGCTAGTTCTGTGAAACGAAAAATGAACAGAGAACTTTATACTGGGAAGGAACACTGTCAAGCTTCAATATACTCACTAGTCTGAATCTGCAGTTCTCAGTGTTCACAATGTCAAGTTTTCTGTTGATCTCATAGATGTCCCGTTCTAGAAGCTTCATACTCTCTGTATGATGTTTCAACTGGCCAATTGCAGCATCACGCTTGATCCGCAATTCATTCCTCAGCTTCAGCTGTTAATAATAAACTCTTCACCACTAAGTGATCTTTATATAGGATTTTTGTAATTCAATAAAGTGAAAAGAGATTTTATTATGTGGCAGCTTTCATTTAAAAATTTCAAAGTACCATCTGAGTCAGGTATCTGCCCTCTTACCAATGAGGAAGAAGAGATATAGAGAGGAGAAGCAATTGCTCATGGTCCACAGGAAAGAAACCAGCTCTGACATGAAGTGACCCAGGAGCTCTGGGTCACCCAATGGCAGAAGCATCACTTCTCTGTCACTGGAGGCTCAGGTGTACACAACTGTTTTGTTGTGCTATTCCTATTCTAATATGGTTGGAGAAACAGGTTGTCCTTTTCTGAAAGAAGACAATTTCTCTGGTGAAAATGTGGAACTCATCAGAGAGATCTGTCCATTACTAGACCACTGGGACACAAATCCCACAATCTGAACAGCCTCATAAGAGCCCTTTATATAGTTTATTGAGCTTGTCTTATGCTTCTCAGTAACTAAAGACACTTGAATTCTTCCTGTTAACAGCAGCAGGTGTGACTGGGTTCATTTTCCACCTAAAAGTTTTGTTCTGGCAGAGAATCAGAAAGCAAAAGCAATCTGATTGTTTGCCAGGGATTGTACAGCCCAGCTGAAGCAAACTGGCTAGGCTGCCTGATGCCCAGCCGTCCTAGGCAAATGGTCCCAGTACATACTGGGACCAGTTGTATATGCACCACAAAAATGGCCCGTGTGGGCACAGCAGGGTTGACGGGCACTGTGGCTACCACACTCGTGTCATCAGCTGTAGCGGGTCCGAGGGCAGCTGACAGGCAGAGTCCCTGCGCCAGCTCTGCGGGAACACTCTGGCTGGGAGCAGTACATGCCCCGTGCCTCAGATGTTTTGAGTCGCTGCAACTACCCCCAGACCTATACAAGTTTTTCTCATCACACCGGTGCTGATTGAATGCCTGAAGTCAGAAATGAGAAATACAGGTAGAGGCAAGGATACCGAAAGATTTTTCAAATACAAGTTACTGAGGTAGCAGAAATTCCTGCCCTAGAAGTAACAAGCATCTGTATAGAATGCCCTTAGTTCACCGACTCTTTTTTGGCTTGCTCACATGCCTAAGGAATGCAAAATCAAGCACAAGGAAAGCTTGATATAAATGCTGGGTTACAGGCTGAGCTGAGGTCTGAGACATCCCCCCGGATAGGAGCATAGCAACAGAGAGAAAGGTATGTCCCCAGCCCCAGCCTGTCTCCCCCAGTCCCAGTCTCCACGGATGCCTGGTTTTTACTGGGAGGAAATAAAGCTGTTGATGGAAACTTTGCAGAAGTAGTACAGCTAAGTTTTAAGTTATTACCGTGTTCTCCTTGAGCTTCCCAGTAGTTCTGACTGACTGCTGAATGGCTCTTTTGACTCGTACCTCTTCATCTTTCTTTTCTGCAAAGCAAGGAAAGAGTTTCTAGACAGTGTAATGACTGAACATTAAAAGTTAAAGTGTTATAAATAAAACTAGGTTCTATCAGTAGGTGATGTTTAACTAGTTTGGCATCTTTAAAAAATGCTTGATATTTATGTTATGGCCATGTCTACAGATTCCAGTTGTTGCAAAAAGCTCAGCTTATACTTGTTTCAAAGGTCACCTGAGCTATAGGCAGGCAGGCATGCTGGTTTTTGAAACAGCAAGAGAAAGCTCCACTATGTAAAGGAGCTACTTAATACTTACTTAAAAATGATTTCCTCAGTTCTTCGTATTTTGTATACTTCTGTTTTGTTTCTCTCTGGGTTTCTTCCAAGGTTAGCCTGCTTGTGTTTAATTCTTGTTCTTTTTTAAGCAGATATTCAGTTGCAGTTCTGATGTCATTCTTTAATGAAACTAAATATTAATCAATAATCTATCTAAGCAGCATTTAATGCATAAATAATTAAACATATCCAGAGGAAAAAATGAAAAAAAATAAAACAGAATACTGGAAGTGATCCCAAAAGGTCGTCTTAGTCCATCGTTTTGCTGTACAGCAGACTCAATTAGACCTAAGTACCCATGACAGATGTCTGATTTGTCCTTAAAAACCCTTTTGGTAGAGATACCATGTCTCAGACAACTGATTCCAGGGTTTTATTATTTGTGCTGTCTATGATTTCTTAGGGCCTAACCTTTTCTTAAGTTAAATATATTCTGTTCCCTGTTACTTGTCTGAACAAGTGGACAAGGAGAAAAACATCACCTTGCTACAATTTTTATTTATTTGGTAATTATTACTATGTCTTCTGTTAGATTTACCTATTTTAAACAGAAAAGTTGCACACCTTTTTCTTCTGATCATCTTTACTTCATCTTGGACCTCAAAATAATCAATGTCCTTTTTAAATGAGGTCATCAGTACCAGGCACTATATTCCAGCTGTGTCCTACCAAAACCAGCTAGAGTAGAGAACATACATCATAAGCCTTACCAGGCTGTCTGCCTCTTTATGCAGACTGGTTTGACAGTTGCTTTTTTCATTACTACAAATCTTTGTTGATTTATGTTCAGCTTATTAGCTTTATTCCTATTTACCACTGCCTAAATACCTCCCTCATGATGGATTTGTACAGGCAACTGTTTCTACCTAAACACAAAAATATGGATTTTTTTTTATTATTATTATAACCTTTTTTCCCAAAAATTGTTTCTCCAACTTGCTAAAATAACTCTGAATTCCAGTTCTGCTCTGCAGAGTGTGCCTCCATGCTTATTGTGTTTATCATCTGCAGATAGGATAAGCATTCACTCTATCCTATCACTTGAATCATGAGGGAAATTACAGATTAATTCCAGACTGAGAGCAGACCTCCTGCAAACTAATGGGAACCATTAATCTATTTTGCCAGTAAAGCATGGGTAACTATTATCCAGTATGATTTTCCAACTGGTATTGTATCTGGGATTCTTCAGTCTGGAAAAGAGACAAGTGAAGAGACACACAGTAAAGGTGTATAAAATCACACACCTTTGCTGGAGAAGATGAGAAGACAACAGCTATTCAGTTTCTCATAACACAAGAACTGCAAGATGCCAATAATCTTTTGAGATAGTAGGTTTAAACCAAAAGAAAATTCTTGTCCTCATTAATAAATTATATGTTATAGGTTGTTATGAGGATAAATGTATATGTGAGCTAAAAGAATCCATCAGTGATAGGGGAATATTGCACTGAAGATCCAGCATAGCATAAAATTCCATCAAAAGCTATTCAATGCAGATACCATCTCCATCCAGAGAAGTCCCTGACACTTCATTTGTCATGGAAATTATACAGAAGAAGGGTCATTCTATATTTGACTGTTCTCATATTTCTTCTCCAAGCAGGACTGTTGGTCACTGCAGAAGATAGGATCCTGGTAGGACCAACACCATGTCTTACCCAGTATTGCTATTTTGGGAACTGAAGTCGATTTGAGTTTCACTCACTTATTTTTGATGTGCATTTAAATATAACCACAAATAGCTCTGAAATGGCTTCAGCCACTTAACTACCTGAAGGTGAATTTCATTAGACTCAGGTGATCTGAAGGCACCTGAGTTCTCTATGAATGCTTGCTAAATAGTTCCTTCCCTATCCTTGCCTGAGATGTTACTTTTCTGATGCCAACATTAGTAGACTAGGCATTTGATTCTGCTGACCCATCAGTGAAGCAAAACAAACTTCAGTATTTCTTTGTCTTACCACAAATATGGAGTGCTTTCACGTAATTCCACATGTTCTTTCCTATCAGCATGTCATTCTGTGGCTTGACCCAACTCATTTTGTTGCTCCATGCTCAGCCGTAAGCATAATTTTGCAATCATGATAGTATTTGTTCAGTAAAAATGTACCTACAATGCTCCTGGATCCAAACTGTACATCCCCCAATAGCAGGGCTGCACAGACTTACCAGCCTGGGGATCTTTGCACTTTATTACATCAACATGGAAAAGAACAACTAATATCTCTTAAAGACTAAGCAGATCATCACCTACGTATCATTACAAAGCTGTCCATTTTAATCCTTCTCTGTCTCATTCCTTAGCTTTAAAAAAACCTGACCTCTAGTTTTAAAGAAAAAAAAAAAAAGGAAAAGTCTAATTTGATGTATGTGCATCTCAGCACAGTGGAACCTCATCTTGGTTAGGGCCAAAGAAACACAAGTCATGAGTTAAATGACTTTTCAGAGGAAAAATACATCTCTCTTGCTGCAATAGGTGAAAGTGCAGAAAGGGAGAACAGGAAAAACCTACATAAACTGGGAGACTTGAAGAACAATGTTAAGAGAGAGACAAGGTGATATCCATGAAATAAAGCCATATAAAGAAATTGAACTGGGCCTAGGATATGCACTAACAACAGGACTCTGAACCCACTTTTTTACAGGATATTAATGTCAAATGCTGCACTACATGGTTTTGTTCCCTCTGAGACTCTGAAGTCAGGTAACTTTTATCCACTCCTGGGATCAAAGACTAGAAATATCAGAAAATCTCAAAGTATAGCTGTTTAGATATGCTCACGAGCTGTACTTTTTTGTTGTTGTTTTGTTGTTTGTTTTTGTTTATTTTTAAGGACTGTAGCAGAAGGATGGGTAAAAAGAATGAAAAAACTGGAAAATATGGAAGAGAACAGATGAAATGGCTCCCTTGGCAGAAACAGATATGTGAAGAGGGCAGAGAAAGAAAGGTGATCAGTTTCATTTCTATGGACTACTTTGATATCATGCATCACCATGATGCTTGAGACAGAGCAGAATGAACATGTTCTGACATGACTCTAACAAAGGAATTTTTTCGCCTTACACAGACCATCTCCATGAGACAGCATTCAGACAGACACATTTTGCAGATGAAAATAGTGAAGCACAAGTGCAAGAAAATGCTGAAAGCTCCAAAAGCAAAATGGGGAAGAAAATAAACCAACTTCAATTGTTTAATCAAAGCAATAGGAAATTAAAGCAAAGCAGGAAAACAGTTAAAAAAATTTAAAATGTTAGGGTGTGTCACTGAATGAAAATAAACAGTTACAATTGCTTTTTTAACCTGGCTCTGTCTAGGCCACAAAGGAAAGAGCAACCCTCTGCTAACAGTTTGATTAGTGCTTTATTAGATGAGAGAAAAACTCTTTTAGAATGGATCATACTCAAAAAAAGGACAGAGAGAGTGTTGAGGTATATTTAGCATCTCTTTTGTATATTCTGCACAGCTCAACTGCCAGAGAGCATGAGAATGAATGCAGCACAATTGTCTCAGCCTTGATTTTTAGTGAAGCTCAAGCAGTTACATGACCATAACTGTCTTGTGTGATATGAGAGCATAACCTCTGCCCAGCAAAATGAGAAAGATCCTCAAAGCCTTCTGCAAATCTACCTTTCTAAGGTCAGACATACAGAGAGGATATTTCCTACACTCCTGGCATCTGATTTATCCTATTTCAAATCAGATTGTTGACCAAGAGTCAGACAGTTTCCCCAGGGACAGAGCATATGCTATATACCAAAGATCAGAGAAGTGTTTGCAATGTTTGAAAGCTCTGCATAGTTCAGATTCATCATGTCAGTGTCCTGCTTTCTTTGGGAAAGAAATCTCATCGGTGTTTTAGAGAACACTGACTCTAAGTAGCCTTGGGTTATGTCTTGCACACCATCAGTTGCTCCAGTAAATTTACAACAATAATAACTCAGAGGAGAATTTGACTAGTGTCTAAAATCAAGCTGTCATATTTCCATGAATGTTGACCTATTTACACAAAAATGATGAAACAAATTCTAAATTAAGAGGTTACACATTGGGACGCTCACTACAAAGCTAAATTGGACACATCTCAGGACTGAATCTGATCCTGCACACATTTTTGTTATAAAATGGGGTGCATCTGAGAAACACCTTTACTGCATTCTTTTGACATAAGTGCCCATATGTACATGAATAGATATATTATACATGAATATATATATTATACATGAATATACATATGTACATACACATATATGGTTGTGAAAACACCAACCTGAGAAGTGGGGAATTTTCTTGAAACAATTACTGACACATGGGTCACATTTAAACATAACTCCAATGAGCATAGATGCAATGAGATGCAACAAATACTACTAATTCATCCATCAGAAATATTCCCAAGGTTAATAAAAAGAACAATAAAACTTACCTCCAGACATTTTATTTTGTTAGTAGAATCCTCATTATAATTCCTATAATAATTTTCCCTCTTTCTGGCTTCTTCACTCAGAGCTTTGACTTGCTTTTCAGACTGAAAAATCTCTTTCTCAAGGTCTTCAGTCTCATAATGGGAAGCAAAATGAATGTCAGTGATTTCTGTAATACATAATGTCTACCTGGACCACTTGGAAATAAGCAATTAGAGTAAAAGGAGTGCAATCTGCATTTAAAACACATCTGATAAGATAAACAATTAATTTAAAATTGTTATTAATAGGAGTTAAGGTCAGATCACAGAATCACAGAATGATTGAGGTCAGAAGGGACCTTTGGTGGTCATCTTCTTTCAAGCCCCCTGCTCAAGCAGGGGCGCTTAGAGCAATGTTGTCCAGGACCATGTCCAAATGGCTTTTGGATATCTCCAAGAATGGAGATATTTGGATCTTTAGATACTGTAGATCTTTAGACCTGATATCATGCTTAATAGCTTACAAAGAATTGGTTCTTGTTGGTTACTTACTCAGGTGTCAGTTTACTCTGATTATGTACAGCATGAACATGTCGTAACACTGGATGTAAGGGGTTATAATACCTGCTGTTTAAC